GTTTCCCACTGAGCCCATAAGCCTCATAACATACCATTTTCCCTCGGGGACCTATAGTAGTTCCCCATTCTTTACTATAACCTCCAGACTCAGGCTCAGGGCCCTGAGCAGGCCACTCTATTGCCTGACTCTGGGAGATGCCCTTTGGGTGTGCTATACTGTGAATGGTGCCCCCCGCCCCCACAACCCCAGAGTTGCACAGTGTGCTTGATAGCCTGGCCTTTTCCCCGTTGTAGTGTAGCAGGTAGTCATACGTGCCCTTGTTTTTCATAGCATTGTTGTAAGGATTAAATGGGTTAATAGGTATGTGTACATGTACATATATCTGTTGTACACATACACATAATATGTGTGCTTAGAATGGTGCCTGCCTGACACATAGTGAGCTTTCTGTCATTAGCTTTTACTACCCACATGTATCTTATTTTTTTTAAAAAAAATATATTTTATTGATTTTTTACAGAGAGGAAGGGAGAGGGAGAGGGATAGTTAGAAACATCGATGAGAGAGAAACATCGATTCAGCTACCTCTGGCACACCCCCTACTGGGGATGTGCCCGCAACCCAGGTACATGCCCTTGACCGGAATCGAACCTGAGACCCTTCAGTCCGAAGGCCGACGCTCTATCCGCTGAGCCAAACCAGCTAGGGCCACATGTATCTTCTTTTATTTTATTATTGAGTAATTCTTTATTGTTGAAACTATTATATATGTCCCCCTTTCACCCACTGATCTCCTCCAGCCCCCTCCCCCCACATGTATCTTCAATTCTAGCCAACAGACACCCTTTTGGGTGCCCAGTTATATTCTGTGCTTTTCCAGTGTTCAGCCTGGAATGACTCCTATCAGAAGTATGTTGACCACCACCGTTCCCTCAACCTCTGTCATTTACACTGTGTCTCTCTGGTGGGCACTTAACACACTCTGTCTTGCATGATTGGTTGTAACCTTTTTAGTCTGATTGTTTCCCAAAGATGGAACTGCATCTGGCTCATTTCTCCAGCATGTCCCTACACAGAGCTGGGCACAAAATAGGTATCAGAAAATATTTGTTACATTGACTAAGACCTTGAAGGGTCACTTGAGCAAAGAATCATTGTAACACAATTGTCACTGATCAAGTACCTCTACTTTTTCATTTTCTCCCTGTGAAAGCCATGCAAGCTACTCATTATCCACCCCCGTTTGACAGATGATCAGGCTGTGGCTGAGAGGTTAACTGAGAACCTGCTAGTCAGTGGTGGAGTGGCTCCAGGCTCCTTGTTCTTACCCTGCCTCTTCTGCAGAAGTCTTTGCAGGTAACTTTGGGGGTCCAGAGCTCACTGCTGTCCTCTGTCTCACCAGAATGGAGAGTTCACTGAGTATTGCATGAATTCGAATGGTCACCAGAAGGAGTGGGCTAAGCGCAATGCGGACTCCTATCCCAGGAACATCTGCCCAGTGGACCGCCGCCCAGTGGTACAGAAGATCATGGAGACAGACCCCCTGCAGCAGGGCCAGGCTCTGGCATCTGCTTTGAAGAATAAGAAGAAGATGCAGAAGCGTACAGGTGGGGAAACCTTACCATCCCCCTGTGTCTTAAAAGGGCTCACCTGGGGCCTTGATTAGGGGCTTCTAAGTGAGCACCTCCATGTATCCAGCCCTAGGCAAGGGTTAGGGGCAGAGGTGGGTTAGGAGGCTCACCTGTAGGCACACTGGTTCTCAAACTCTAGCTCAGGGGTCCTCAAACTACGGCCCGCGGGCCACATGCAAATACAAATATTGTATTTGTTCCCGTTTTGTTTTTTTACTTCAAAATAAGATATGTGCAGTGTGCATAGGAATTTGTTCATAGTTTTTTTTTAAACTATAGTCCGGCCCTCCAACGGTCTGAGGGACAGTGAACTGGCCCCCTGTTTAAAAAGTTTGAGGACCCCTGCTCTAGCTCATATTAGAACTGCCAGGGGGCCTGTTAAAACACATTTATTTTATTTTATTTTTTTATTGACTTTTTACAGAGAGGAAGGGAGAGGGAATAGAGAGTTAGAAACATCGATGAGAGAGAAACATCGATCAGCTGCCTCCTGCACACCCCCCACTGGGGATGTACCCACAACCAAGGTACATGCCCTTGACCAGAATCGAACCCGGGACCCTCCAGTCCGCAGGCCGACGCTCTATCCACTGAGAAAAACTGGCTAGGGCAAAACACATATTTCTGGGGACCTGTCTCCAAAGTTTCTAATTGAATAGGTTGGCCATGGGGACTGAGAATTTGTGTTTCTAACTGCTTCCAAAATGCTTTTAGTACTCGTCTGGGGACCACACTTGGAGAACACTGGCCTAGTTTGTGTATCAAATAACCACCATTTATTTATCAGCTGCTTTTTATGTATTAGGAAGCTTATAGGCTATATATAATGGTTACTTTATCAATAGGCATTGTACTCAAAATCCAAAAGGCATAAAAGAATATACAATAAAACGTCTTACCAATCCCCTAGTCATCCAGGCCTCCTCCCAGCGGCAACCAATTAATTTCTTTTAAAAAAATGTTTTATAGATTTTAGAGAGAGAGGAAAGAAGAGGGAGAAAGAGAGATAGAAACATCGATGATATAGAAACATCAACGAGAGAGACATTGATTGGCTGCCTCCTGCATGCCCCCTATTGGGGATCAAGCCCATAACCCAGGCCCGTGCTCTGACTGGGAATTGAACTGGTGACCTCTTGGTGCATGGGTCTACGCTCAACCCCTGAGCCACACCAGCCGGGCCCAGTTAATTCCTTGTATCTCGTTCCTGAGATAGGTACACAGGCAAACATCTATATATTCTTATAAGTACCACGCGTTAACCGATTGCGCCACTGGAGCTCCTATATATTCTTTATTCTCTTTTTCTATACAAATACTTCATTTTCCATTTAATACATATTAGAGATTATTTCCATGTCAATTCACAAAAGAACTTCTCCTTCATTTTAGTGGTGGTCTGTTGTGTGGCTGGCCCATTTTTGTCTTCATGCTATGCCAACCTTCACTAACCCATTGTAAAAGTCTTACCCACATTTGGTAAGTGAGGAAACTGAGCCCCAGAGACATTAAGTGACACACTCAAGGCAAGACAACTAGTATTTAATGGAGCCAGAATGAAAACCTAGGATTCATTGACCCTATAAGCTCTGTTCTTTGAACTAGACTGTGTTCCTAACCATTCACTCTTGGCCTGGTTCCACACCGAGGCCTGGGAATCCAGAGATGGATTGCCCTGGAACTCCTGGTCTTATTGGGGAGTGAGGAGGAAACAGGAAAACAGACATTGGCAACACAGAGTGATCACTGTGAAGACATCCAGTCTGGAGGTGGTAGTGGGGTAAGGGTGGTCAGAGAAGGCTTTCCAGAGAATAATAGGGTGTGACGAGGATAGGAGGTGAGAATTCAGGCTCAGTGTACCGAGTGTCCCTTTGCTGTCCCTTTGCTGTGAGAACTTTGAGGGTGATGACAGAGTGCTAATAAGTTCAACACAGTAAAAGGAAATTGATATTTTGATGGAAGGAATAAAAATTCTTGGAGCCCAGTGAGTCTGCCATTCTAAGATGGAAGATGTGTTGGAGTGATCATTTCACACGTAGACAAACGGGTCTGCCTCAGAGGTTGAGCAATGGCTGCTCGCAGCCCACCAGGTGTTTTGTGTAGTGTTAGGGGGTAAGTGAGCCAGTTTTGGAGTTTGGTGCAGACCAAGGTCAATGTAGGCTAGCTCCTGCAGGCCTCCTGTTGGCAAGCCAGCCACCAAATGACTGCCTGTATTTCTCCATTTGCAGATAAACTCGCCAGTAAGCTGTCCGATTCCATGATGTCTGCCCTCGACCTCTCTGGCAACACTGATGACAGTGCTGGTGACTGATCGGCTGATCTCACCCCCTCCACTCTCCAAGTACCGGTTCCAGTGGGATGGGGGATACAGATGAAATAAAATGGTTTGCTTCTCCCTGAAGCACACACACATGAAAAGAATCCCTCCACCATACCTCCCCCACATTGTTCCCTCCATTCTCCAGGGAAGAAAAAGGGTCCCAAGTGGCTGGAACTGACCAGCCCAATGCCCTTTATTTAACCCCCATCATATTTGACAAGAGACATAAATTATCATGACATCTGATGCTAACAGTTTATCCCCCACCCTATAGGTTGGGCTGTTTGAGGACAGAGGGGGACCAACCCCTCACCAAATTCTCTTGGACAGCTAAGCGTGCAACTAGAGGCTAGGCTGCTGGTAGACCTGGTGGTCCCTGGAGGGTGATGATTTCTTTACCAGTCCACAACAGAGCTCGGCTGCAAGACATTTCCTACATGGGCTGCAGGCCACGCATCTTTCACCCAAATACACAGATCCCCACCTGGGTTGCACTGGGAGTAGAGTGAACAGCGACGAGCTTTGTGTGTCTGGAAGGCTCTGGGGATAGGACAGGAAGGAGACAACACACAAGCCTGGCTGGTGCTGAAGTGTAAGTGCCACCTTGTTCACACACAGGGAAAACAAGGCACCAGTTGGGAGGGCAGTTAGGTGTGTTAGGGGCAAACCTCACCGTAGGGCATTTTGGGGCAGACTGAGTTGGAGGAATCCTTTGGACTGAAGCATTCTGGGTGGGCCCCACCCTTGTATGACCATGGCTCACCCAGCACCGGCATTTGAATTCTGTGATTCCAAAGGGTTCTAGTACCATTTATTCACAGGCTGCATCCTCAAGACAGGTGTCAATTGGGGGTGCACCATCCACCTCCTTTTCTGGTGTCCAAAGTCATTATATCCCATTAAAATATAATAAGCCACCTCCTTTGGGGACAGACAAGGACAGAGAAGCCCAGTTAGTGTCAGGGGCCCTCGCAAAGGGACTGGGTGGATGATGGCAGCAGAAACACCGTCTTTACTCCATATATTGGGTTAAGCACATGACTTCAGTTCCTAGCCATCTACCTGAGACTGGACACATTTGAAGGGAGTGGGCATTAGATTGCTTCAGTCTTTGCTCCTCCCCCCCCCCAAACTTCCATACCATCTCTGGACCCAGAGCCATATCTTAGCCTTACCTCTCATGTTGTCATCCCAAATTTTACCTATTCAAATCCTAGTAACCATAGGAAGGATTGGCGAGCCCTTGGCTGCAGGCTGATTTACAGGGAAGCGCGGGCCGCTCCCAGTCCTGGAGCAGCCAGGGCAGAGAATTATGTACTGCTTGAGCACAAACCCCCAAACCCTGGCAACCTGTTCACCTCCATCAACCCTCAATACCGCTCTGCCAGGAAGGGATTAGTCTCCCCGTGTAGGAAAAATAGCCTCCTGTAGTTGTCAGGACACCCACGACATTAAGTGGTAGTGCCCATTGGAACCCAGGTGTGATAGCCTGCAGCAGGCCATTTCTCTGCATTGTTCTGCCTCCTTAGCATCCATTAAGCACCTGCTGTGTGCCAGCCTTTGATATCAACCCTTTAAATATATTCTATCTTTTTTGGTTTTTAAAAAATAGGGCCCTTCTATCATTTCACTGAATCTTGGATGAGGTACAGCTTATTTCACACTGTCATATTATCAAACTCTCCTGGTAGATGTATGTTACAATGAAAAATTGGGGTGTCAGGACAGCTAAGGCCATTTTACAACTATATGGCATTTCATAATTTAGTATTTAAAGTATTTTCTAGTACTCCTAGGAGATGCTGGTTACTAAGTACTAGAAATAGGTGGTATCTTGACTAAGAAACAGCATGGGAACAGAAATTGGCCCAAATCAGACAGAAGAACTATATTCATTGTCGAGGTAAGAATATGGGACTCCTGATTCTCTACAGCATATCAAGTTTAAAAAAAACACCATTTCTTGAGTCCCCCCCCCCTTACCTTTAGAATATATATATAATTTACATTCAATAAGTGAATTGCCAGTATAAAAATAGTCACGGGGATGTAAAGTACAGCACAGGGAATGGAGTCAATAATATTGTGATAACTTATGTATGGTGTCAGATGGGTATGAGGCTTATAAGGGTGATCACTTCATAAGTTATATAAATGTCTAATCATGATATTATACACCTGAAACTAATATAGTATTGTATGTCAACTGTAATAGAAAAATAAAATTTAAAAATATTTAGAAGTTTACTCTATAACTTCTGTGAGTTTGAACAATATACACAGTAGTGAACTAGCATCACAATAGAGATACGCAATAGTTAACATCACCCCCAAAATTTTCAGGCCCCTTTGTAGTCAACCCCCACTCTCACCCTCAGATCCTGGGAATCACTGATTGTTTTCTGTCCCTATAGTTTTGCTTTACCATGAATGTCATGTAAAAAGAATCATAAGGCGTGTAGGCTGATTTTATCTATAGGTTTTACATTTTAAAAAATTTTACATAGAATAAAATTCGCTCTGGTGTACAGGTCTATAGGTTTTGACAAATGCATATAATTACGGAACCAACACAAGGTATAGAACAGTTCCATTACCCTCTGATCACCGCCAAATTCATTCCTGCTGCTTTATAGTAAAAGCCTCCGTACCCCTAACTCCTGGCAACCCTGATTTGTTCTTTGTCCTTAGAGTTTTGTCTTGTGGAGAATGTCATGTAAGTGGAATTTTACAGTCTATAGCCTTCTGATACTGGCTTTTTTCACTAAGCATAATACATTTGAGGTTCATCCACATTTCTGAGTTGTACTTTATTGTATGGATGTACCACTGTTTGTATATCCATTTCTCAGTGGAAGTCACGTTGGATTGCTTCCAGTTTTGAATGATTACAAATAAAGCTGCTACAAACATCTGCATGCGAATTTTTTGTGTTTTCATTTCTCTAGAGTAAATACATGCAGTTGGATTGCTGGGCTATATGGTAAGTATATGTTTAACATTCTCAGAAACTGCTAACCTGTTTCTTAAAGGAGCTCTACCATTTGGCATTCCCATCAGTATGTGAACATTCCACTTGCTCCCCATCTTTTGCAGCTCTTGGCATCGTCAGGTTTTTGACATGAGCTATTCTTAGTAAGGATGCAATGTTATCTCATTGTGTGTTTTAAAATTCTCAACCAAGGATATTTAAAAAATATATATATTTTTATTGATTTCAGGAAAGGAGAGAGAGATAGGAACATCAATGATGAGAAAGAATCACTGTTAGGCTGTCTCCTGCGCACCCCACACTGGGGATTGAGCCTGCAACCCTGGCATGTACCCTGACCGGAAATCAAACCATGACCTTCTGGTTCATAGGTTGGTGCTCAACAACAGCGCCACGCTGACCAGGCACCCAAGGATATTTTTTTCCATTGATTTTTAGATAGAGAGGATGAGAGAGAGAGAGAGAGAGAGAGAGAGAGAGAGAGAGAAAGAGAGGGAGGAAGAAACATCAATGTGAGAGAGACACATCAATTGGTTGCCTTCCGCTCACGTCCAGACCAGGGCTGGAGATGGAATCAATGAGCCAGGGCTCATTGTTTTGATTTGCATTTCCCTTCTGACTAACGATTTGAGCATATTTTTCATGTGCTTATTTGTCACCTGTATATCTTCGTTGAGTAATGTCTTCTTAAAAAAACCTTTATTGAGATTATTACAGATGTCCCTCTTTTTCCCCCCCATTGTCCCCCTTTACCCAGTTCCCGCCCCATCCCAGGCCTTCGCCACCCTATTGTCTGTATCCATAGGTAATGCATATATGCATATAAGATCTTTGTTTAATCTCTTCTTGGCCCCCCATCCCCCTTCCCTCTGAGAATCATCAGTCTGTTCCATTTCCATGCCTCTGATTCTATTTTATTCACCAGTTTATTCTGTTCATTAGATTTTTTATTCGTTTAACTCAATTGTTGATAGGTATGTATTTGTTGCCCTATTGTTCATATTTTTTTCTTTTTCTTCTTCCTCTTAATGAATACCCATTAACATTTCATATAATACTGGTTTGGTATTATATTAAAGCTTCTTTAGCTTGTTCTTATCTGTGAAGTTCTTTATCTGACCTTCAATTCTAAATGACAGCTTTGCTGGATAGAGTAATCTCTGTTGTAGGTCCTTGCTATTCATCACTTTGAATATTTCTTGCCACTCCCTTCTGGCCTGCATAGTTTCTGTTGAGAAATCATCTGACAGTCATATGGGCATTCCCTTGTAGATAACTCACTGCTTTTCTCTTGCTGCTCTTAAGATTCTCTCTTTTTCTTTAGCCCTTGGCATTTTAATTATGATGTGTCTTGGTGTGGTTCTCTTTGGGATCCTCATGTTTGGGGTTCTCTGTGCTTCCTGGACTTGTAAGTCTATTCTTTCACCAGGTATGGGAAGTTTTCTGTCATTATTTCTTCAAATAGGTTTTCAATATCTTGCTCTATCTCTTCTGCGAATGTTGGTACACTTGAAGTTGTTCCAGAGGCCCCTTACATTATCTTCATATTTTTTTTATTGTTTTTTCTTTTTGCTCTTCTGGTTGGGTGTTTTTTGCTTCCTCATAGTTCAAATCATTGATTTCTCAGAATCCTCTACTCTACTTTGAATTCCTGTATATTATTCTTTATTCTGGTCAGTGTATGCTTAATTTCTGACTGGTCCTTTTCCATCTTTTTGGAGGTTTCTAGAAGATTCTTGAGTAACCTTATAACTGTGGTTTTGAACTCTATATCCAGTAGTTTGCTTTCTTCCATTTCTTTCATTTGTGACCTGTTTGTCTCCACATTTTGGCTGCTTCCCTGTGTTTGTTTCTATGTATTGGGTAGAACTGCTATGTCTCCTTGAGTTGGTAGAGTGGCCTTGTGTAGTAGGTGTTTTATAGGTTCCAATGGCCCAATCTCCCCAGTCAGCTGGGAGCTCTAGGTGCACCCCTTTATGGGCTGTAAGCATAGTCTTGTAGTTGAGACTTGATTGCTGTTGGTGTCAGTGGGAGGAATTGACCCCCCACCAGGCCAGTTAGCTGTTTGTCTCCAATTTTGGCTGCTTCCCTGTGTTTGTTTCTATGTATTGGGTAGAACTGCTATGTCTCCTTGAGTTGGTAGAGTGGCCTTGTGTAGTAGGTGTTTTATAGGTTCCAATGGCCCAATCTCCCCAGTCAGCTGGGAGCTCTAGGTGCACCCCTTTATGGGCTGTAAGCATAGTCTTGTAGTTGAGACTTGATTGCTGTTGGTGTCAGTGGGAGGAATTGACCCCCCACCAGGCCAGTTAGCTGTGAGGACCAGCTGTGACTACAGTGGGAGAGCTGCTGTGCAGGAGACACCCCTATGGAGCAGGACTTGCTTCAGTGGGGCTTTGGTGCCCACTGAGTCTGCCCCTTGAGTGTGTTGCTTATGGATGTGTAGAGTTGTAACCTGGTATGGTCTGACACTGACCACTGGGAAAACTGGCTCTTGGGACTCCAGGGAGGTGCAAAGTCAGCCACTGCCTGGGGCCACCCAGCAGGAGCTATAGAGAGATCTGCAGATTCCTCCTCTTTGTATCATGTTTGGAAGTGCTCAGATGAGGCCCATCTATGAAGCAAGGCAGGCTGGTGCAGGTGCCAGGTGTTGGGCCTTTTATTGATAGGCTTGGGGCCTCCTGACCCAGCTGCAGCTTGTTTGAGAGATTTTAGCTTGAGTGAGGTCAGGCCATAATAGTTAACAGCTTGGGTGAGGTTGTAAATAGGATGAGCTTGGGTCTTAGGGAATCACCAGGGTGGAGCAAACAGAAAAAAACTGGCTCTTGGGACTCCAGGGAGGTGCAAAGTCAGCCACTGCCTGGGGCCACCCAGCAGGAGCTATAGAGAGATCTGCAGATTCCTCCTCTTTGTATCATGTTTGGAAGTGCTCAGATGAGGCCCATCTATGAAGCAAGGCAGGCTGGTGCAGGTGCCAGGTGTTGGGCCTTTTATTGATAGGCTTGGGGCCTCCTGACCCAGCTGCAGCTTGTTTGAGAGATTTTAGCTTGAGTGAGGTCAGGCCATAATAGTTAACAGCTTGGGTGAGGTTGTAAATAGGATGAAGCTTGGTCTTAGGGAATCACCAGGGTGGAGCAAACAGAAATGGCTGCCAGTCAGCTCTGCGACTGGGGAGATCCCAGCATAGGAACAATGATCCCTGCAAGCACCTTTATCTGGAAGAAATCCACCCCATGAATTCCTGCCCTGATGCCAGACAATCTAGTTCCTCCTTGCCCTGGTGTCTGTATTCCACAGAACCTCACCCTGATGCTGGAGCTCAGAGGAAGCGGGACCTTGTAAGTTCAGTTTGTGTGCTGGCCTTTTAAGAGGAACAGCTGGGCTTCCAGCAGCTTCTGTGTCACTCAGCCCCAATCCGCACTGGTTTTTACAGCCCGTTCTTACTGCCTGTAGAGACTTCTTTTCCCAGCTCTGGGACCCTGGGCTGGGCTTCCAGTGTGGGGCTGGGACCCCTTGCTCCTCCAGACAGCCTCCACCGAGGCTATCTCCTTCCTGATTAAAAAAGCAGCCCACGTGGGTGCCAGACCAGCCTGTTCAGTGCCTCTGCACCTCCTACCAGTCTCAGTGTGCTTTCTTCTTTATTTCTCTAGTTTTAGGGCTTCCATTCAGCCAGCATTCCAGTGGTTCTGAATGATGATTATTCTGTATTTTAGTTGTAATTTTTATGTGGTTGTGGGAGGCAGTGAGTACAGGCTTTTACCTATGCCGCCATCTTCAAATCTCAAGTAATGTATTTTTGCCCATTTTTAAGTTGGGTTGTTTAATTTTTGTTGTTTAGTTGAAGTTCTTCATATATTCTGCATATTAACCCTTTATTAGATACATGATTTGCAAACATTTCCTCCCATTTGTGGGTTGCTTTTTCATTCTGTTGATTTTGTCCTTTAATGAATAATTTTTGATTTTGATGTAGTCCAGTTTTTTTCTTTTGTTA